CATCTCACTTCATGCCTTGACGCGGATTTGATTGTGCGGTTTTCGTCCTAATTTTGGTACTATAAAGGAAAATCACTTTGCAAAAAGGGGAGAAAAAACTGTGGGGTAATTTGGGGAGGCCATTTATCCCTGAGACCAGCATCCTCACCGGACATCTCGGCAGCCGTCACTTCCCATCACTCGGAAGTGGAATTATGTTTTTTGTTTTTATTTTTATTATTATTACTCAAACCCCCATTTGAAAATACAGTGACAAGGAAAATACAGAAAATTGGAGAAAGGTGTAAAAAGGTAAGAGTTAAGAACAGAGGGGTATCAGAAGAGTCAGGACAGATATGCCCCCGACAATCGGGGTATACTATGGCTACTATACTCGAGGCTGGGATATCAAAGACACTGGTGAAGTAAGCAGAAATAACACTGACAGATGCGATTGAACCAACGGTGACGATAACAATAGAGGAGTAGCGGATAGGGGGGGATACAAGAAATTAGTGGGCAGGAGGAGGAAAATAAGGGCGCAAGAAACAAGAAACAAGCATAGAATAATACTTAAGAACAATAAAATGGGCGGGTGGGACGTGCAGACAGGTGAAACAAGGAGCTAATGGGGCAACAACTGACGCGAAGCAAGCAAAATTATTATTTTTGAATTTTCTAGTTTGCGAGTTTTTTTTTTGGGGGGGGGAACTTTCTGATGCGGGGGGTTCCGCTGAAGATGGCATTTCTTTGCGGGATTTCGAAGTGACCCTTTCTCATATTGGGGACTCGGCCTGCTGTGGATAACCTATCTCGGCCTATACCAGCTCGGAGCCTTATAATCCCTCATATTTCCATCAATGTGGGACTCCTCATCTCTCCGGCTACGTTTATGTTGGGCTGGCGGTTCGTCCCCATATCGTCTGCGCTTTCCTGGGCGCCTTGGCAAAGTTGGGATACGAGCCTGAGGGTAATCGGAATTCCTCATATCTGCCGAGTGGCCTCCCTCGAAAACACGCCCGGCACTAAAGCGATGGGCAGTGCTCAGCGGCCGGATACTGCTTTGGAAGGCGATGGACTGGTCAGGAAGGGCTCGGGAGGAGCGGATCGGATGAGCGTTGCTAGGGGTGTGTTCCAAGTAGTGACTAGAGTAGTACTCGGGATGAGCCGGTGGAGGCGGGCGACTGCGAGAGCGGTTGCGTGGAATGTAACGGGGAGGAGTAAGTTCACGATCTGGAGACGGGGCCGGAGAACGGCGTGTAGGACGGGTGGGCTCGGAAGGAGGGATGTACCTATCCCGATTGAATGTCCGGGTACCAAAACGGGGCCCGATGTTTCTACCCTCAGTTTGGTGCGAGGAATTAGCTCTTGACAAACCTAAGGGGACATTACGACTACGCATGCTCCCGTGAAACGGAGAGGAGTCCCTGGCTCTGCCTCTCTTAACATCTCTTGCTGGTGACCTGGAACGATCTCTTCCACCGCTCTCATGAGTACTATGGCGAGAACCATTGAAGTGATATCTGGGAGGGCCCGAGCGATGATTGGAACTTTCTGTTCCCATATACCTATAACTATTTTGGTAGTCGGAGTGGGTCCTGGAATCGGTCATCGAAGGCCGCCAGTAATCTCCTCTGGACTGGCGCCTGTTGTTTTTCTCCCTTCCGTTGGTGGCTCCAGGCGCACCATATGGTTCACGAGGGAATTTGCTTGGAGGGGGAAGATCGCAGTGGTTATTCTCCTCGTGGGGGAGAGTAAAGTAATGGTTCCCCTCGAGTGGAGCAACAACCCCGCAGTGATCATTCTCATGGGGGAGTGCGGAAGGATCATTCTGCCCCAAGGTGTGAACGTCGCCGTTGGGGTTCTCATGGGGGTGAGAAAAATGGTCGTTCTCCTGGAATGAAGTGACACCACCGCTGTGACTCTCATGAAGGGCTGGGGAAAGATTGTTCCGCTCTAAGGTATGGATGTCACCGTGGCGGGTCTCCTCATGAGGAAGAGTGTAATGGTCGTTCTCCTCGAATGGGGTGACATCACCGTAGTGATTCTCCTCATGGGGGGAAGTAAAATGATTGTTCTCCTGGAATGGGGTAACATAGCCGCTGCGACTCTCATGAAGGAGGGGGGAAAGATCGTTCCGCTCCAAAGTATTGATGTCACCGTGGCGGTTCTCCTCATGAGGAAGAGTGTAAAGCTCGTTCTCCTCGAATGGGGTGACATCACCATAGTAGTTCTCCTCATGGGGGGAAGTAAAATGATTGTTCTCCAGGAATGGGGTAGCACAGCCGCTGTTACTCTCATGAGGGGGCGGGGAAAGGCCGTCCCGCTCCAAGGTATTAACATGGCCGCTGTAGCTTTCCTCCTGGGGAAGGATATAATAACCGTTCTCCTCGAATGGAGAAACACCGGCGTAGTGATCCTCATGAGAGTGCGGGGAAGGATTGTTCTGCTCTAAGGGATGAACTTCACCGTTGTGGTTCTCCTCATGAGGGAGGGCGTAATGGCCGTTCTCCTCCAATGGAGTGACATCACCGTAGTGATTCTCTTCATGAGGGGGAGTAAAGTGATCTGTCTCCTGGAATGGAGTAACACTGCCGCTGCGATTCCCATGAGGGGATGGGGAAGGATCGTTCAGCTCCAGGGCATGAGCATCGCTATTGCGGTTCGCTTCATGGGGGAGAGTAGGGTGCTCGCTCCCCTGGAATGGTGTAACGTCGCAACTATGGCTCTCATGAGGAAGTGGGGAAAGACCGTCCCGCTCAAGGGTATGAACGGTGTCATTGCGGCCCTCCTCATGGGGGAGCGTAAAAAGGGTTTCCTTCTCGAGGGGAGAAACATCGGGGGCCGTTTCCTGAGAACAGGTGGAAACAGCGGAACTCTTCTCTCCAGAAGAAGGGGGAGTAGGAATGGAAGCTATATTCTTCGGGGCAGGGGTGACAAGGTGCGCGCTTGGAGGTGGAGAGACGCAATGACGTTTTGGGGATACAAAGCCATTATCAATGAAAATTGACCTATCTGGTGAGTTGGGCGAGCGACATCTGCCGTTTCCTAAGGTGTCATGATCATTAGAGTCGAAAATGTCAAACGAGTTTTTATCTTCAGGCTCCCTCGCCCCCGTTCGAGCTTCTCCGGCCATCCGCAACCTAGGGCTGGAGATGGAGATCGTATCCGATAAATGGGGATCTTTCTCTGCGAAGGTAGACAAAGCATTTTCGCTCGAGGTGGGAATGTTGCTTTCCACAGCAGTGGAGACACTGCGTTCCTCGGAAGAAGACGCTGCGCAAGTGGGAGGCGAGGGGACTCTTTCTGGCGGAGTGCCTAGCGAGGGATGCCCTTCTACATCGTTGTTGGTATGATATTATACAAAGTGAGATTCTTGAAGTATAGGGTAAAAGCATACCAATAGCACTCTTACTGTCTCCTGAAAATCTACCACCGGACACTGCTAGATGGGAAATTTCATCTGTGGAGAAGTCAGTATGGTCTCAACAATCAGAGGGTAGAGTAAATACCATGGCCGGTGTCTATTTCTGTCTTGGTATTTGTGGCATAGACTTTGACATCTGATGGATCGTTGCCTGTCGCGCCTAAGTCATCGAAGGGAGATTGGAGACTGTTGACAAAGGCCTCATCTGAGGCTTTGTTAGGAAGGGATATCTGATTGGGGGTGTTTGGTGAACCAGTGGGATAAGATCCTGTAGGTGAGGTGCCTTTAGAGGGGAGCGACCCTTGTATTTGGTCTGCGGAAGGAGATGACATAATTGAGGTATAGGAGGAAGAAGTCGTGAAAATGGAAGAGGAGGGGGGGGAATTTTTTTTCTTTCCTTTTTTCGGAGAGGAATCCGTGGATAGAAATGTATGATACTCCACGAGAGGAAGTGTTTCGCGTGGAGGAGGGATGTTGATGGAGGAAGGGTGCTTTGGGGGGAGATATTTATAGGGTATGCACAAATTAGAATTGAATGGCGCAACAGAATAAGGAGCTCAATGATATGGGGAGCTCAATGACATGGGGAGCTCAATGACATGGGGAACTCAATGACATGGGGAGCTCAATAGAGTGGGAAACACAATGAGATAGAGAGGGAGTGAGTCATTTTCGTAGAAATCTGGGCTGCGTCTATATAAAAAAAGGTAGGGTAAAAAAATAGGGGTTTTTTGGTGTTGAAGTCAGGGTGTTAGGGTGCTGTGAAATTAAAGGGTGTACCCACGAGTAGAATGTCTGGAGGAACCAACAGGCGATGGAAGACGTGGGTAAAGATGGATTAGAAGTATGATAAGAGTCGTGCGGACTTCGAAAGAGATGACAGGTAAGAAGGAGGAAGGAAACACGTACACCGGACCTGATGTTGAGCTCTCTTAGGAAAAATGCTTCCTTGATCCGGCTAGGCTTCAAAGTATTCTCTACACTGTGGTATGGCCTTATCACGGGTACAATTTGTGGTTTAATTTTTCCCTTAGAAACCGCAGACATCCGGCTTCCTTGAATCACTCCCCAATGAACGACGAGGGACTCAATCCCCTGCTACATACTTCTTGGAATACTATAGCTACTCAGCCAAGACCGAAACACAATGGGTAGCCGAAGGCCGGGAACCACAACTATCCTCACCTCCCTAGTGTGGTGTAAAGCAGTTAGTACCCGGGAGGCACCCCCATTCAGCGAGGCGAGTTCGGTAACGTATGCCCAACTATCCTTTGTAATTGACTCCCCTCATAGTTTATCAATGCTCTGTAGTTGCATCTCCGCCGTTTTATTGCTAGGAATGCACCGCCTCGAGATGCTCATTACTCTCCTTTCAGTGCTTGCGGTGGGGTACCAGTATGGGAGGTTGTAAGGTCGATATTACGGCAATTAAGCACTGATGAAATGCCAAGACAGATGTTGAGCGAGTGATGGCCAATGATTTTCGGTTACTTCCGATTACACCCTTGTTCAACCGTTGGCACGTGAGGGAAAGCTTAACTTCGATCCTATTAGATGTTCCTTCAAGTTGCCGACCGACAGGCCTTCTACTTTTACACACCAAACAAGCTGCAGCTCAACAATCATGGCCACTGGCTACAGAAACATCCCCACGGTGGACGGTACATATGACGAAGACGAAGAGCGCCTCACTGCCCTTCCATCTTCCACCGAACCATTAATCGGAGACGATGGTGACAACGGGAGGAAGGGTCCCGGGGATGGTGAGAGGGTGGGACTCTGGATCTGGTTGCTCACCGTGAGTGCCGGTATCAGCGGGCTCTTATTTGGATGTGAGTTGTATTTTGTCTTTGTTTCTCCGAAGCTTTTGGTTCTGTTGAGTTTCCATGGAGTTGTTTTCTAACCGGCTTCAATAGATGATACCGCATCTATTTCCGCCGCACTTCTACACCTCGCACCGTCATTATCTACCCCCGAACATTCAGTTACAACGTGGGATAAGTCGCTCATTACCTCGTCAACCTCTCTCGGAGCTCTGATCGGCGGATTATTCGCCGGTTTGCTGGCGGATTATATGGGGCGTAAAGGCGTCATCTACGTCGCCGACGCGCTATTCATTGCGGGAGCCGTTTGGCAAGCTCTCTCAACTAGTGTCGCTGCAATGATCGTTGCTAGGACTGTTGTTGGATTAGGCGTTGGCGTGGGAAGCTTGATTGTCCCGCTTTACATCTCGGAATTATCACCTCCATCGCACCGTGGGAGACTGGTCATTATAAACGTGTTGTTCATCACATTCGGACAGCTGATTGCCTACGCGTTGGGGATTATCCTATCACCACCCACGCTTTCTCAGGACGCTAGTTGGAGGTATATGCTCGGGCTTGGGGGGCTGCCAGCAGGTTTACAGGTCGTTGTAATGATATTCATGCCCGAGACACCCCGCTGGCTGCTACAACACTCACGGCGCAATGAAGCCGCGAAGGTGATCGCGAAAGCCTACGGAAATCTCACGGCTCGAGAGGTGGACCAAGTGATCACAGGAATAGAAGCCGGAGTATCGGCGGATACCTCTGACACACTTACCGAGAAGTTCAAACTTCTCTTCAGCGTCGGCGGTAACCGTCGCGCCCTGACCATTAGCTGTCTGTTACAAGGCCTTCAGCAAGCCTGCGGTTTCAACTCGCTAATGTACTTTTCCGCAACTATATTTTCCATGATCGGATTCAAGAATCCGACCGCGACAGCCATGGTGGTTGCAGGCACAAATATGGCCGCCACGGCAATAGCCTTCAATCTCATCGACCGTCTTGGCCGCCGTCGCATCCTTTTATTATCGATCCCGGGAATGGCCATTGGTCTCCTCCTTTGCGCTCTTGCATTCTCCCACCTCCCTGTGCTAACTCCCGTCACCGCCACCACCCCAAACACCGCATCTATAACGAACCTCTGGCCACCCATCCTGATTATCTTCATGGCATTCTACGTCGCTTCGTACGCGCTAGGCATCGGTGCGATCCCATGGGTCGTTCAATCCGAGTTCTTCCCCATGCGGGTACGCGGCCTCGGCACGGGTATGGCTACAGCGACGAACTGGATACTAAACTTTATGGTCGGCGCGAGTTTCTTGCCTGCGGTGGAGTTGATGTATGGTGGCGCAGCCGGTCTATTCGTGCTTTATGCCCTAGTGTGCGTGACTGGGACTGTGGCGGTGTGGTGGGTCTACCCGGAGACAAAGGGTCTTAGAATGGAGGAAATTGAGGAGGTGTTGAGGGAGGGGTGGGGGGGTGTTGGAAAGAGAGTTGACTAAGAATATATATTAAGGCGTGGCGTTTTCAGCTTAGGATCGTGCATTGTCGGGCGCTTTGGGTTGGGATTTCCTCTTTTTATTATTATTTGTTTTTGCTCAAGGTAGGGTTCTAGATCGTGTGAAGGAGGGAAGCGGATTGGTTTATTCATGTAGGTCCAGACCATGATGTGTTTTTTTTTTCTTCCCCCAGTGCTACTGTATGTCATCGAGAGTGAGTGGGTAGTGAATAGCAATTATGATATCATACTCAGTTGATTATCCTCCGACACTTCAGTCCGGGTATTTCTTTTTTTTTCCCTTTCATTTTAACTCTCATCTGTAATTATTTTCGGCCAGAGATGAATGATATCTCAGCGATGCCCGTCATTTACGCAGACACGAGATCCGTCCATCCTCTTCCAATTTGGCAGGGGGAAAGACACCCATTTCCCCGCCGGGTATTCCCACCGCCGCCGTGTTCTTCTCTCTCTTCCGGGAAAAATATATATAATTGAACACTTTCTGTCTTCCAATCCTAATCGTGAGTAAAGTCGGGTGTGCTTCTCATGGTCTTAAATCCCCAGCGTTGTAAATTTCGATCGGTGCTGTAGAGGACATATTCTGGTGTACTTATCCGTATGGATTTGGTAGTTGTTTTTTTTTTTGATTCACGGAGGGGGATATTTAATCATTTATTATTTATTTATTTATTTATTTGGGTAATCCAATCCTCGGTAACACTCCGGCATAGAGATGTACTAGTACAGTAGGTGGTAGAGGGTTTGGGATTATTATACGTTTATCGCACCTTCCCGGTGGACAAATGATATTATAGTAGCTTTTGGTGTTTGGTGCTATGTTCGTCGTCCCCCGTTTGTCCTTTTTTTCCCTCCCGTGCGCTGTGTCGTAGCGGTCAATCTCTCACTTTCCTGGTCAGGGATTATATTGGGAACGGTGGTCATGGTCCTGGTCACCTGCTTCTCTGGTATCCACACCGAATGAATGATGGTGCGAGGCCTTCTGGACTATGAGTTTAATCCTCTTTCTTGGTAGGGGATGGATTATTGGTAGTTGCTAGGAATTTCCCTGTAGGATAGTGTATATATTCCTACATGACCATCGCAATGGACGATCATGTATCATGTCTTCTGCCGTACGAATGTCCAAGCTTTCTTGCATCTTTTACCGCAAATTATTCCACCAAATGCGTAGCGAAAGGGGCGTCTCACTTTACCAAGAGAGAGTCTATGTGTCTCCTAACTCGCCGGCTCGGCTGAGATTTTGAAAGAAAAAAGTGTTGGATTTTTTTTATTGTCCCCCCTGGGGGATTTTGCGCAGGGAGGAGGTTGCTCTTCGGGGCGACTGCAGCTGGTCATATGGAGCTGGATTTGGGGTGGCCTCTGCTCGGGTGTGGCGTTGTCTAATACTTGCAGCTGTTGGGCTGCGACCCTGCTTGATTTTGGGATATTCTTGAGGATGTGGTGAGAGTTCGTTACGATCTCTTCTATCGGACCAGGGATAATTTTCGGGCCAGCACCCAGACGCTCCCTTGGCCAAGCATTTTATTTTTGACCGCATTCAGCTGAAGAGATGATTGGCGGTATTCAAGTGTAGCACAATGAGTTGTACGGTACTTCACCCCTCTCCACACCCCCAATCACAGAGCCCGAAACGACGTGCTCGCTGAAACGAAACTCGACCGACACGGCTCTTCTTGTTTCTTCTATTGCTCGCCCCGAGAATCAAGCCCCCGATCCAGAGTAGAGACCGGTGCTCCCATCGCTTGAACATGAGTAACAGTCAGAAAATCCCCGCGGACGATAATCCCTCGGGAGCTCCCAGTGAACGCCTTCTAAGATCTGGGGCTGTGGGGAAACACTCGGGTGAGCAGGGTGGAGGAGTATGGGATCCACTCGGGCGGAAACACCTTGACCCAAACCTTGCAGACGAGAGAATACGCACCCCGCTCTTCTGGGCCGTCATGAATGGCCTCGCAGAAGTCGTGGAGCTCCTCCTGAAGCGGCCGTCTGTCAACCCAAATCTAGCCGACTGGCATGGACGGACACCCTTATCGCTAGCCGCCTCAAGCGGCAATGGGAAGATCGTGAGACTACTCCTAGATCGGGAGGATATCCGCCCCGATGCCGCAAACGCTTTCGGCCGAACGCCGCTTTCCTTCGCCGCGCAACACGGGCATATCGAGTTAGTAGAGTTATTTCTGGCCCGGAAGGACGTGAGCCCAGACACCCCAAACCGCGCGGGGCGGACACCGCTCTCATTTGCCGCAGCGGAGGGTCACAAGGACATGGCAAGGCTGCTTCTGGGCAGGGAAGGAGTCAAAGCGGACGCTTGCAGTGCAGAATCTCGGTCACCGCTCCTGTTCGCTTGCTCCGGAGGCCACGATGAAGTTGTGGAATTACTTCTGGAGAGGGATGATGTGGACCTGAACCGCGCTGACGACTACTGGGCCAACACGCCAATTGGCTGGGCGGCTTCCACTGGGAATAAAAGGATAGTTGAAATGTTGCTGCAGCGGGAAGAGGTCGATCCGAATCCCCGGAATCGCGATGGGGACACTCCGCTCATGTGTGCCGTCAATATGGGGCATGAGGCTGTAGTGGAGCTCTTGCTGAGCTGCGAACGTGTCGATCCGAATCTGTCCTCTCCCCATGGCCAAACGGCACTTTCCTACGCGGTGGGTAGGGGCCGTGAGAGAATGGAGGCGATGTTGTTGGATAGAGCGGGCATTAATCCTTGTGTGCGAGAGAGAGATGGTTGACCTCCAAGCCCTCGGGCGGTGACCAGTGGAGTGGGAGATAGCGGAATTGATTTGATAGTCGATTCAAATTTATGGGTCGTGGGGCTCCTTGGTCCGGAACGTTCATACTAGGGCTCTTTTGTGGTTCGATGTTTCTGTGTATTCGTTGCCGGTGTTATTTGTTTTGCTGTATCTTAGCTCTTCGGGCCCAACTTACAGTCTCGTTTATTCAGAATTTGGAGCGGCGCACTAGAGCTAGATGATCTTGCGATTTGCTGCTACTCGTAGATGAAGCCCGGCCATCTCACTAGCACCACAGCGGTACAATATCCTTGTGCCCGAACTATACACTCCCCACTCGCCGTGAGCCCGGCCTGCTCGAGGGCGTTTGGGACTTTGCTCCAGCCCAGTTTGAGCCCCCCAACTTTACCAAGTATCCTAAGGCACGCTGAGCGGCGAGGCCATCACAAGGCATCACTCACTCAATAACGAATACGATCTTCAATGAGAGGTATGACGAAACCCGGCAGGTGACGAACAGGGGTACCACTCTTCGGAACAGCCTACCGACGGTAAAAAGAGGAAAAATATGATATCGGTGATCGGAAAACAGGGGTGAGAAACAAGGGACACCGGCTGGAGTAGTGCCGTAAACCTATGATACCGTAATTCGCCAATGGGAGCTCGGGGATTCCTTGTCAGGGTTTCGGATCTTTTTCTCTTTTTTTTTGTCTTTTCAGCGCAAGCCGAAGCCCTTGGAGAAAAAGTGAAATCGGCAAGGTAGGGTAACGGGAAGATAGAGTATCAGGCTGTCCATCGTCGTATCATAGTATAAATATTTACAGGGATGTACCTACATGGCAGCTGTTGTGTTAGGGCTATTCCGAAATGGGGTGGTTGATGACTTTGGCAGTTGGCAAATAGCCATTCTGTTCTCACATTTGGAACGGAAGGGAAACAGCCATTTGTACGTGACAGCGGAATGGGGCCAGCGCAACCAAACAGAACCTTAAAGAACTCCCCTTCAACATTACCCCTACGATCAGCCACCACCCCAAATTCCACAGCCTGCAAAAGGAAACAGAAACTGTTCAAATATCCAACCATAGTTGCAATATGGGAAGGAAGCCCCTCCAGATAATCTGAACCACCAAAGCCCCCGAGCACATCACAAGATAGCAGTGACCTCCTAGCGTTAATGAGAACTTTCAGTTTATACTAAGCCCTCGGTTCTCCCCAGTATTCCCGCTTCTGAGAGGGGGCGTTCTTGTAACGAGGCCGGTAAGAGGGTCTACCACCAATGGCCAAACGGCGCACTTGGGAAGATTGGGCTGAGTTTTTTTGTTTCCGTTTCCGTGAGGTTGGAAGAGTTTGATTTAGCCAGAGGATTCTGCTGAGTATGATATGTATTTTCCTTTCTGCTTTGAGGATTTCTTGGGGGGCTTTTAGTAGGTTAGTTTTAGTGTAGCGCGAGAGAGTTTATAGGCTTGTCCGTAAGGTTGTTCGAGTCTTGAGCATTGGGATTAGGAGGGGCCATAAGGAGAATTAGGGACTGAGGGCTGTTGGAGATGAGACCGGCCATGATGAGATGGTGACACAGGATTGTGGCCTTGATGAAGGTGGAGCTGCGGGTGATTCCGGTTTTGGGGAAGATGCCACGATGGTGGATAAGGATACTGCTCAGGAGGAGTAGGATTCCTAACACGGAGGGATGGAAGAAATTTTGGACGTATCAACCATAGATTTAGAAGGCTTGCTCGGTTTGATAATAGTATGCCCTCAAGTCTTTCATCACCACGATCTACTGCATTTGCGGAAGTTGGTAACTGTCTCCCATAGTCCGAGGTGTTCCCGGATTTGACTGAGGAATATTTCAACTGGGATGAAGTTGTGGATTCCAACAGCCCAGAGACAGTGCATCATCTGGCCGATCTAATGAAATACGGCCTATCATTTTCTGAGTTTGAAGCTAAAAATTTTACGCACGGATTTCCCACATTCTCTCGTTACTGTCCTATCTTCGCGTCGACCATTTTCCGCTTAAATTTGACGCTCGGGACGGAAATTCTTATTGCCCGGCTGATCCCTTTTCCGTGGAACATGAGTGGATGAAGATAGGGAACTGTACTATGATAGTCTAATCATCTCGAACCCCGGGGCTCTGGTGAAAGAGGGAAAGAAACCCTGACCCCATCACTATTTGCAATATTCCCTTTTGACTTGATCAACCTTTTCTGGAATTTCTGTAGATGAACGGTAATGTGACAAGATAGGCTACCCGCGGGGACACAGCACCGAATTTATTAACAATAGTCTAAAAGACAAAGGAGATGAGGGAGCTGCCAAAGGTGGCGATCCAAGTGGCAACAATGTTTAACTATGTCAATTGAATTATGGATTCCAGGAATCAACGTAGTAGCTTCCATTCATCAACATTAGGTAAAGGAGATATAAGGTGTTTTTATCCACGCAGTGAACCGGAACCCATTTTTGATAAGATATCAACCGCACTATGAATTCCAAGAAGCTATCTATTGATAGCGGGAGAACGACCGCAGCGGATATCACAACTTGGCCCAACTCTCTGTTATGGAAGCACTGAGTCAAACTCTGTAAGAGAAGTTGAAAAGGTTAGATACAGGAGTGCATACCCCCAGTGCGGGGGGCAGGGGCGGCGGGCTGGTTGGACATCTCTACCTCCCAGGAATCCTTCCCCCTATATCTGCCATTCGAGTCTAGGATGACAAGGCTCACAGAGCATACCCATGTGATACTAGAATTTATCAGAACCTCTCCTTTGATTGCTTTCCCTCCTCTCTCCCTCCCTGCCCCCCTCCACTCCCACCCCTCCAGGCTAACTTTAACCCCAAAGGTTACAATTCCCTGTCTCCATCACACCCAGAAGATGCCCCGTATCATAACTCTCGAGAGCCGCACAACACACTGCAATCTATTTTTTTGGGAAAGGGGAAAAAGAAAAAAAATGTAGACTCGTCAACTGATTCCCCTCCTTCTTCGTGGGTATCCTCCCGCAGTTCCTGACCATTGGACCGGCAATTACTTCTCCTCTCAATGCCGTCACCAGGAATCACTCGTGCATCTATCGGCTTCTTACAGTAGGTGTAGATAAGTAGCGCACGATACAGCACACTACAACACAGTACGGTGACTTAAAGTAGACACTAGATGCCGATATCAGGACCAGTATGAAAGCAACACTTTAGATCCCAACGGGGGCACCAGAGAGGGTTTAGACAAAGCGTATAGAGAAAAAGAAAACTCCATTTAGTTTTTCAACGCACGATTATCTCCTGACGCAGCGCATAAGAATATCACGGATCAAACTTGGGTCTCCCTCACAGCGTCCTCCAGTATATAGTAAAGTCGTTTCGGGGGGGTAAGTTATGTCTCTTTGGTAGGTATGATAGGAACCTGGGTACGCGGATAGAATGCCATTAAGTACGACTGAATGTTGACGAGTCCCAGGGAATTAGCTTATCCGTAGATCGTGGCTCTCATAATAAGACTTAAAGATACCCCATGTGGGTACCTGAATTCCCGACACCCCCCCCCTCACCCCCGACACTGCTTTACTTCTCCTCTACTACCAAGCCCCCAACCACTAAGCCTTTTGTTTAACCGTGATCCGATATCTGTAGGCGGATGGTTCAAGATTAGCCTGTTGGTGTGAATGAATTTTGATTCATCGGCGTTTTGTGCGCCTAATAGGTTACCTTTCACCAGGCAAGGGATTGCGTACCTCTTGCCCATCCACAATGCGAACTTCCGAATGCACAGTATTGAAGGAAGATGACCACCGCTCACAAAGTAAGGGCACCGCAATAAGTGGACGTATTGCCTCGAGCTTAGGGTTTGGTCGTGAGAGAAATACCGGGTGACCCCATTATTTGGTGATCGAGGCCCGGGGAACAGCCAAGTTAATAGAGCTTAGAAGCGCAGCAGTAAATTATAGTATAGAGGGCCTCTGGGGTGAGGAGAAGCTGTGGGGCCCAAATACCGCGGGGGGTGCGGTCCACCCGTAAGAGCTTCTCCCCTTTTATCTTCGTTTTTCTGTCTTGTTCATCTGACGAACAGTGGTCCCATCATTTCTGTTCTGAGTAGGCCTATCAATGGAGTCACAGGTGGACAAGCTAAAGTGCATGGGAGCAGGGGCTTGTCCCGCTTTGCTGTGCTTTAGTCCTACCAGGGTTTAGCTATTCCCCCATGAATGGAGGGCGACCAAAGGCACAACAGCTGACCCGAGGGGCTGACGGTGAGCTTGGGGGGGAAGATAACCAGATAAAAGGAAAAAACAATATATCTACTGTCCAACCGCTTTCTGGGGTTCCAAGAAATAAGCACAATGATAGTATCAGCACAGTAATATGGGTGCATACCCAGGCGAATAGTGAGAGAAGGCACTGTGCTATAGACAGCGGATCATTTTTTTTTTCGGATAAGCAGATGGCTAATAGGTATAGGACAGGTGCCGGCCATTCACGCACTAGTAAGTGTGAAGGTCGCCGGGGCGGGTGGGTATCAGGGGGCAGAGATATAGCTTCAAGATATGAATCTACAAAGGCCGAGCGCTGTTTTCTAATAGCAACCATTCACATAGTCCTTTTGGGTGGAAAACCGTTAGTATCATACCAGGGGTGAGGGGCCACTTTGATGATAAATGCTCACCTACTCTTATAGACCTATTTAACCATGTTCGTACTAGAGAGCCCGTATAAAATTCGGAGAGGGTAGTCACTTTTCTCCCAATCGGAGGAGGGGAAACAATTCTCCCCCCCTTTTTTTCTCCCCCTCTTCCCGGACGGGTAGTTCAATAATAGCAGATTGTGGGGGCGAATCGGAACTCTTGAACTCCTATTAATTGTACAGGAGTTGATTATTTCTTGACATCTTAACCGTTATGCCGGGTAGGTATTTCACATAATGTTGCCTTAGGAACGGGCACTTATCCTGCCGGTAGGGGAATTCGGCCTTCCTTCATCCGAGTTTAACAGCTAGCGCCATTGCTCGCTGATTATGATTCAATACCGAAGTAGAGGAATGGTTAAAGACACTGATTGCTGATTAGCAACAAAAACACCCCTCTGTATCCAAAGGAACGACTACAGCTGGAAATCAATTACGAAAAAAAAGGTACGCCTTGTAGAGAGTAAGACAAGATTTACACGGGTAAAAAAATAAAAATAAAACGCATTGATAAGCACGCAGTGCAGGGACAGGACAATTCCCCTGAATGTCCTGATTTTGTGCTCCATTTCAGGCCGCTTTTCCCGGCTTTAGCGTCAGGTATCATGAATATACCGCTTCCGTTCCGGTCGTAGTTATTGATACCAGAAAAATCCCGAGCGATTGTCTGCGGGATCTCACAATGTGCAGCAACCAACTTGGTATGATACAAAGTGAGATCTGGGTTAGGCCTATGGGTGTGGGTTCGGCTTACCCACGTTTGTTCGTCACAGGCTTTATTTAGATGGGATTTATCACAGCACCGGTGTGATTGGATTCACCTTTATGCTGTATCAGCTTGAATTCTCACTAGTATACACATTCGTAGCTGAGTAAGGTAGATGTAAGTACGAGTAGTCTACAGTACGGTACAGTACTGTGTTCGTATACCACAACAGCATATTATACAACTATACCAAACTCCACCTTCAAGCACCAACACTGCCGCTCAAAATACAATCTCACAATCGTTTACAAAAGGCGGACCAGTTGTCTCGTGGAAAAACTAGGGGAATATCATTACAGCGTCATAGGAGCTACCCCACAATATCATACAGATGCCCTTCCTCTCCTCCCTTTCCAACGGCAAAACGAAAGTATTCATGGTTTCGTGCTGTGTAGTCTACAAAGCGACGAACTATTCCAACTCCTTAACAACTGCCTCCAGAATCTCCTCCGGATTCCTATACCTTGCACCGGGATGTTTCGCAACCCTCTGCCATACCTCTCCGTGCCGGGGTTCGGTAATGCTCAGCTTATTGAGCACGTCGCCCCGTTTCTCTTCAGTCCCGTGCATGCTCAGGAACTTCCAGTACCACGCCCACGTATCGCCGTAATCCGGGTCTACCAAGATTGCCTTTTCAAACCAATTAATCGCCTTGGGCAACTTCCTCTCCACCCAAAAGTTCCTTGCGACGGCGACGTAGAGAATGGGGTCATTACCGACTTTCTCGATGGCCTCAACGAGGCGCGGGCGACGATGCGTGCGCTGTTCGAGGTACCAGATCGACTCTGCCCAGAGGAGGCCGGAGTGTGGGCATTCCTGTAGGGCTTTTGCCATGAGAGTCTTGGCTTGGGAGGTGTTGTTGGCGCGCCGCTCGACGCGAACGCTTTCACACCAGAGCTGCGCGGATTTGGGTACAGCAAGGCGGGCGCGGTCGAGGACTGAGCGCGCGCGGACGAGGACGCCAGCTTTTTCCTCAAGGCGGGAAAGGAGAAGCCAGAGAGGGACGCTTGTGGGACATGCTTTTGTACCGGTGTTGTATGCCTCCCGTGCGGGGGGGAGTCGGTCCTCAGCTTCGTATATCTGACCCTTCATCATCCAGAGTTTGTCCGCCTTGGGGTAAAGCTGCAATCCATGATTCACCAAATCCAGCGCAGCATCGGTGTTCCCCTGCTGGCGCTCGAAGGCGACGGATTTGATCCATACCCTGTCTGTGCCCGCTTCGCGTCTGGCAGTGGCGAGGAGGTCCCGAGCGGCGACGTGCTGGGTGTTTTCTGCTTCAAGTTTAACAGCAGCAAGCCAGATGTCTTCGTTGTTGGGGTTTTGATTGAATGCTTTCCCAAGGACGATCCTAGCGCCGTCAATATCCCCCGCTTGCCATTTTTCTTTGGCGAGCATCATCCATAAAATTTCACTCTGCGGACAGGCTTCAACGGCTTTTTCGAGGACGTTCCAGAGAGCTTCTTTCGTGCCATGATTTTTTTCAAGGTCCGCGGCTGCGCGCCATATGCTCTTTTTCACCAGGAACACTCTTAAAGCGTATGCGTATATCGCCCTAGCGGTTTCGTACTTTCCTCTAGAGATAGAAGCTTCAGCATCATCCATCCAGATCTTCTTCCTGTCATCATCTTCTTCCAGCTGCCAGCCGAGGGTCTCCCGGATGATAGCTTGGCAGGTCTCGGTCGCGCCCTCTTCTTCGCATTTTTCGGCTTCCTTGATCCAGTCCTCACGTGTGGGCATTGCCTCTACGCGGGCGAGGGCCTGGACGGCGCGTTTCATGACGTTGACCTTATTGGCATTGCCTTGCTGCTCTTGGAGTCTTGCCGCAGCAATCCAGATTTCCGGACTTGTGGGGATGGCCTTGCGGGCTTTGTTGAGGACTGCTTGCGCATTTTCAAACGTTTCTAGGCGTGCTAGGGCCAACCAGAGTTCTATGCTCAAGGGGACGAGTTCGACAGCTCTAGCAAGGAGGATTTTGGCATCCGCTGGATCTTCTTCGAGTTTTACAGCTTCTTTCCAGAGGACGACCGAATGGGGGATGATGTCGAGGGCTTTTCTAAGAACTCTTTTCTTTGCCCGTAGCTCCGTTTCAAGCTCCATTGCCTCCACCCAGAGCTTAACGGACTTGGGGTTATGTCGGACCGCGTCTGCTACAATGATTTTGGCGTTTGCGGGATCATTTAGACGCATTGCTTCTAACCACACGTCCTCGTTCTTCGGGCAATGTTCACAGCCTTGGGCGATAAGACTTCGGGCTTGGACCATTTTACCGGCTACCTCCTCAAGACGAGCAGCTGCGATCCAACCGGGTCCGTGCTTAGGATTCGTCTTGATAACGCTCTGTAACAGCTCTCTAACACGTTTGATATCGCCGACTTGCTCTGCAGTTTGGGTGGTACTCCGGTTGAGCGAGGTGAGGTAGCCTTTTGGATCAATGTTCGTAGCGCCGGTCACCGAGTCACCTCCGGATCTGTCCAGCCTTGCTTCTAGGACCTTTGTCTTTGCCTTCCCAATATCCACAAAGTTTGTCATAGTCCCATCCGCCGTGTCAGCGGAAACCGCAGCGGTGCCATCATCCTGGACGGAAGTCTCAAACTGCGAGCCGGCAGCATTCACCAAAACTGAATCCGGGGTTGGATAGAACTTCTGCCGCATGGCCTGTCTCGCCCTCCTGTTCCTCCCCGTAAGGTCCCCCACTTCAGGTAAGCTCGCCCAATCGTCATCGGTGAGGGTTTCCAGTCCCCGCTTCAAGTCGGCGAACTGATGCTGGATTTTCGGATTCTTGCGCTCATATTCTTCGCGCTCGGCTTTCTCGCGTGCTTCCCTATATGATGACGAAGGAGTCGGCAAAACTGTCTCGTGCAAACCATGATGATAAACCATGCATTCCACAATAAATAAATAAAAAAAGAGTGGCGAACATGAGAGGAAGGTGTGAGAGGGAGGAGAGGAAGTAATACCTTCGTGACTTTCGCCTTTTCTCCATCTTTTCATCCACACTTTGGTATATCCTATCCGCCTCATCATCGTCTTCGTCATATGCTCCTCCAGCGAAAAGTCCAACTTCATTTTCGGGATCTTGAAATCGATCATCGTCATCATCATCGTCGTCTTTTTTCTTATCCGCACCCTGTGGACCATCATTAGAAAAGGCCTCAAAGAAAGTAGGTAACGGCAAACAAACATAAGCAGTTGGCGGGGCCTGTCCTAACGCTTCTGCTCTCCGAGCGAGAGCAGCTTTGATAGCTTCTTCCGAGGGACCCTCGCGTGCGGGTCCGATATCAGATCGCGTTGTGAATCCAGTGGCGCCACGGCCGAGACCAGCGACATAGTTTGCCGGAGCTGGCTCATCAAGGAAGTTACGTTTCATCATCTCGACGGTTTATCGTTTAGTTGATTGTAGGAAAGTGAGAGGAAATGGTGTGTGTTTCGAGAGGGAAAGGAAGGCACAATCCGAGCAGATGAGTCACCCTCTTGACGGTCACGTGAGGCTATGATATAAGTGGTGAGCAAGCGGCAAACTTAGGGGGTGTTTGGTGTGAGCACGTCGTCGATTCAGAACGCGGTTTTGAGCTGTTATCACCCTATTACTTGTGACTTAATCCTGTAACTCTGTTCATCGACCCAGAAAACATTTCGAAATCGATGAACTGCTCAATCAACGGCGAGCCAAACAGAGCCTTAAGACTAAGGCATGTTTGGATGTCTAAATTGAGAGCTGAGAGATTGAGGTTTGTGAGATTGGTAAATTTAATCCATGGATTACCGAACAATGAAGGGGGGAGATTTTTGGTGGGAATTTATGTATCCGGAAAGGCTTAAAGCTAGATGTGTTGCACGCAACTAAAGACTTAAATTCAGGTACATAGTGTTAGACTAGGCGTTGCACTCACTTCAGTGCAATCTCTGGAATACCCGGAGGTAAAAAAAGAATCTCCGTGACTGGCCAAGAATCTCCGCAATACAAGTACCGTACAGTACTCGTACAAGTATCATTACATCCAAACAGCCCCTAAGGAGGACAGTCTTCTGGGTTTTCCCTGCGCTGCCCAGGCCCAGTACCGCACAGCACTCGAGTATGATGCTTGTAATGTACTGTGAATAGGTTGTAGCAATATACTCGGGCATTTACGAACATACCGGTACGCGTTTCAGGCACTTCGCACCGTACCCAAGTACCTCACTTGTATCATCATATCCACTCCAAAATCAGCAGATAGTTGAAGAAGGTTTGAGGTGGCAACCAGACGCGCCCTTAGTTTTGCTTGGGACCCGATGCTAAATTCACCTTGCTACTCGAGTACGGTAAATCTACCCACCGCACTTGTACAATACCAGTACCGTATTCCGAAATGCCAAGTTTCGCCATTCCTCGCTGAGGGTGTGATACCGCCCCGCTGACCACACGGTCTGTGTGGAATTCCGGTTTTCAATCAGCTGCCGGAACATCCCACCCCCCCCCACCCCCCAAAACTCTGGTAGTGCGGGGGTCATCCATGCTCGAGTATTTGTCCGGAGTTTAGCATTAATATGAATTTTTCAACTCCTATCTGCAGCCCGAAACAGTGACAGAGGGACGCATGGCTGGCATACCCTGTTGCCACACAAAATTCTGTAAAGTTACTGTATTATGCAAATTGACTGTCCCGGCGTTGATTTCGATCTCTCGTCCGGAAAAAAAAAACCCCCAATTTTACATCTTGTCGAACAATTCCTGTGCTCTGACATTTAACTATGAATCTTTGGTTTGGGCTCTCTGTCAAGAAGAAAAAAAATCACAGTATCCAATATTTTCTTGAAACTGGACTTTTGTATGGAAAACTGGGGGGTCCATGTTTCTTTTGTTACTCGCACCACCGACCTCTTGCTAATACTGTATTTGTAAAAAAGTATCCATATTTGGGAGGTCTTCGTTGTCCATTCAAAACTCGGATAATGCTTAGTAACGGACAGCAAGGATGGGTTCTTGGTTTCAAAGAGTTTCAAAGGTCTTGGCGGGTCATAACGACTAGCTTCAACCCGCAGGTTCGGTCACGTTTAACTGTGGCCCAGAAACTCTCACCACTGCCGAGCTGCAGTCTGGATCTACTCAAGGCGACCTCACTCATAACCTCGATACACTTTGACTCGTATAGCCATCGTTACCATCATGGAGGCTATTCAGAAGGAGTACGAGCGCCTGATCAAGAGAGCAAACCTCTCCAAGAGCATTAGCGACGTCGACCACTGCCTGAGGTTGTTGGAGAATGCCCGGGAAGCAATACTGAGAGGTTTGACATTATGTTTATTCCGTTGGCTAAATGAGCAGTTCTGACTGGGTACAGATCCGACGACCTCGAAAATGACCCTGGTGAAGCTGCAACAAGCCATGAGCACAGGCTTGGGTAAAGTTCAAGAAGACCATAAGGAAATTTACACTGGGCTCAACCGCTATGGGAAAGCTCTCGATAAAGTACCTTGCCACTCTACCCTTGGTCGTTGTACTATCGTATCTAACGTAATAGACATTCAAAGCGGCCTCTACCTATTCCACGAACGATTATGACGCTCTAACCTCCCAGGCACCGCTTATAAAGCGAGCTATAGCCATGCATTTGATTCGCGAAGGCCAATTTTCCGTGGCAGATTTTTTCCTTACCGAAGCCGGCCCAATCGATGTCCCGCCGGAGCTTCAACACGAGTTTCAGGAGATGTACGAGATACTAGATGCTATGCGTACCCGCCGTGACCTCTCCCTCGCGATCGACTGGGCTCACCAGAAATCGGCTCAACTGGAGCAACGTGGTAGTAACCTGGAGTTCGAACTCTGTAAGCTGCAGTTCATCTGGCTGTTCATTGAGCGACCGGAACGTGCTATGGCATACGCCAGGCGAGAGTTTTCGAGATTCCAGGAAAAGCACTTGAAAGACATTCAACAGCTTATGTGTGCCTTCTTGTTTCTCCAATCTCCAGAAAAGTCGCCTTACTCGAGGATATTTGCCGACCCGGAGAAGAGCTGGAACGACGTTGCACATTCCTTTACGAAGGAGTTTTGCAGTCTGCTTGGGTTGAGCGCTGAGAGCCCTCTTTACATTGCTGCCACGGCTGGGGCCATTGCGCTGCCGACACTATTGAAGATGGCTTCTATCATGAAAGAGAAGAAAACCGAATGGAGCACAGTGAACGAATTGCCCGTAAGGGATCCCCGCTCCCCGCTCCCCGACCCCTTGTCCAACATGAGATACTAACCCATACGGAAAAATAGGCGGAAATAGCGCTTCCCCCGGGATACCAGTTTCACTCCATCTTTGTATGCCCGGTATCTAAAGACCAAACTACCGACAGCAATCCCCCGATGATGCTCCCATGTGGTCACGTTATCGCGCAGGAATCACTTCAGAGGTTGGCAAAGGGGGGAAGTAGCGTCACGTTGAAATGCCCTTACTGCCCTAGGGAGAGCAGTCTTCATCACGCTAAGCCGGTGATTATCTGATTGTTTTGACTTTTCGGTTCGGTGTTTGGGACGATTGTTCATAGGGTTTCTCATTTGGGGTTTTCTTCTACTCGTGTAAAAAATACCGAAGTTACGACGCTCGATTTTCTGCAAGTCAATTTTAGCTCTACCCTCGGTGAAACGAAGGTGGTCGATTGTACCAGTAGACTACGTACTAGTATGGCCTGTAATATACGGTAAAATCTGATAACGAAATTTCCGCAATAAACCGCCCAGCCCCCCCTTGTGGCTGAAGTATTCCGGAAACGTGACATCACCCCATGTCCGGGTGACCGCTATAGGGCTTGCGCCCTTCTGACCAAACTCGGTTGCAACAGTCACGACCCACAACTTGTGAATGATTCTCATCGATGGTTAATCTAACGGGCTCCTGCAACGGCCAACAACAACTCAACGACGAGCAGACCATCCCCACCCAGCGACAACCGGACTAATCAGTAAAGATGTGAGTTTTATTTATTTTTCCCCTTGCGTTCAAATTTGTTCTTTCTTCCGGAGGTGGTTTTATTTGGAGGGGTCCTTCGGGCATCCAGCCCGACATGTGGGTGAAATGCCAATCACAAGCTACTTACAAGATTCGGCATCCTCTAGAGGACCTTTGAAGATTTCAAGTTATGAAAATCAAAGAAGATGTGACGGGCATAAAACCATCCGACAATTTTTAACTGGAGTATCGGATGGTAGGGGAGGGTCGCATAGGGCAATATGACATCCCTGGGGAGTCCATGTGCACTGACGATAAATCTTAGGGTCAATCTCCGCACACAAAAGCGCCTTGCGGCCTCTGTCATGGGTGTCGGAAAGAGAAAGGTGTGGCTCGACCCCAACGAAATGAACGAGATCAGCAACGCCAATTCCCGTATGCCCACTTTAAATCTGGACACCTTACGAACTACGGAACAGCTGACAATTGTAGGCCAAACCATCCGCAAGCTTTACAAGGATGGCCTTATCATCAAAAAGCCTAACACCATGCACTCTCGCTTCAGAACTCGTGAACTCGCTGCCGCCAAGCGTGCGGGCCGCCACACTGGTTTCGGTAAGAGAAAAGGTACCAAGGATGCTCGTATGCCCTCCCAAGTTTTGTGGATGCGCCGTCTCCGTGTTCTTCGTCGGCTTCTCGTCAAGTACCGTGCCTCCGGAAAGATTGATAAGCACCTCTACCACGAGCTCTACCACTTGAGCAAGGGTAATACCTTCAAGCACAAGAGAGCCTTAATCGAGCACGTTCGTCTGCCTCAGTATTCTAATTGATACCCCCGTACTGATGGACAAAATAGATCCACAAGGCCAAGGCTGAAAAGGCGCGTGAACGCATACTAAAGGAGGAGATGGACGCCAAACGAGCCAGGACCAAGGCTGCCAGGGAGAGAAAGCAGGCTCGTCAACAAGAGAAGAAGAACGCCCTCTTGGCGGGTGCGGAGGACGAGGCGGCGGAGAAATAAAGTGTTTTTGTGATAAAAATATAAAAACCCTTTCTCTTTTTCTTACCTATTCATTCCTTTTTCCCTTACTCTCCTATTTTATTGGTATGGATCTGTTCTTTTAGTATTGGAAAAGGGCGATTATGGGTCCTCTTTTTTTCTTTTTTTTTTGCATGTGGGACAAAAGCAGAAAAAAAACATTCATTCACTTGGGTCGGGGACCATATGACTTTTTTTGTGGTGAGCTCGTCGGAATGGATGTGATGGAGATGAAATAATGTACAGTACCATACCAGGCTGTGGGTCCCGTCTTCGTGATTACAGACTGTAGATATTCGATCTAATATACCCTCTGGTCGCTGGGGTTTTTTTGATACCTATGCCAATGGGCTGGAAGCATGGACGTGGCGCAATGGAGACATTGGCAATGACGAGATGATGGTATTGCTTTTCGTGAGATTTCTGTAGTACTCGAGCATATTATTTGGGATTCTTCCTTTGGACAACGACTAATGCCAACAATTTTGCGCTTCCTGGAGCTGTTTCTTGGCGCCTCCAAACAAACGTGGAAATGATATTAGCCCCAGCTTATATTTAACAGGTTGTCCGAGCACCTGACACATCAGATATCACTCGTAGCAACTGCACCTTGCCTGGGGACTATCCCTTAGTCTGTTAGAGCGTATGAGAGATCGGTAGAATACGACTTGGTTTGAAACCCAAAACAATATATTTCCAGTTGAGGAGGGATACTCTCCGTCTCGCAATTTTGCCGGCTAGATATCTTGAGTGTCACCTGAAGGACTATAGGATAGGATTTAGGGATCACAATATGGATCAACCCCCCCCCCCCCTCCCCCCAACAAACATTAAAACACCCGGTGACCAATCAGCCGATTAGTCAACACCGCACAGAGACCTCTAACCCTCCACCTTCCTTCCTCTCCTACCCCCGATCAATCCAATAATCAATTACTCCCCCCCGACCTCAACACTCCAACCCTTGGCCAAACACCAAAATTAACATAGCAACCACTTCCCCGATCTGACCTCTCCCCATCTCCCCTTGTGCACCGAGAATGTCCGCAATCCCAACAAACCCTCCCCTCCTGACCACCAATCTCCCAGGTCCCACCACATGCGCAGCACTGCCAGAAGCTGAGGCACGAGACACACTTTCTGTGCGTGCAGTCCGGGGTCGGGCACTGGCGGAGGGGGGATTGCGCCGGCGTGAAGTGGCGGTGTTGGCAGATGCAGCAGAGCCATGGGGTGGGTTTCCCGATAGCAGACAGGGGGGTGGTTGGTGGAGGTGGGGTTATGGGTTGGGTGTGTTTGGGAGGGGCTCTGGCAGGAGTATGTCCCTCAGTTCCCACTTTCTCTTTTGTCTGGGGTGTGTTCGGCATCGCGGTGTCTGCTTATCCGTGAGTCTAATTTATCCAACCCTTGTCAGCCAATACCGACCAAGCAAACAGAAGCACTGGTGAGTAGTACCGTGTCAACTTAGGTACCAACTCGGAATGCCTCTAGTGGTTAGGATTTTTGTTGTGCCCAACCTGCTAAATAGTCTGGTTTTCAACTTTTAAGTCTCGACCTGTGTGGTAAGGGTTGATACTGTGTTCAGTTATATACTAAACTCGAAAATAGTAGCTGCATTCGGGGCGTGGGTATTCTGGTATTCGAATTCGAATTTTGTGGTTTTTTGACCCAATTAGTGGTAGCGATCGTAGCGGTTATACTGTCTCAGGCCTAGAAGAAGCGCTTATAAGCTCTGGGGTAGTGGCAGTGATCGGGATAGGGAGGGCATATGAATCCGGGTATGGGACTCTGCTGCTTTGGGTATTGTAGAATATGATATGCACGATAGTCTCATATTTGGGGCAGGGTGGTAGGCGGTCATAAGTAGGGCTGGGGGTTCAGGTGAGTCTCGCAATGTATGATACTGTATACTCGGAGATCAAGATCGCAATACTTTGCGGTAACGGTATGATAAGATTCACCCCGGGCACAAGCATATAACTGATAAGAGATAGAGGACTGAGATATAAACTTTCATTTCTTATTGGCACTGGACTAAGACCCTAACGGCATATGCTCCGCTTCTTATAAATCTCGCGCCCGGAATCGATTTTGAGCTGTATTGATATCCCCCCACCCCCGACTCTTACATCAACTAAACCTGGTTGCATGTGTCGAGTGAGGCCTGGGGTGGTAAACAAGTGCTTGGAGGCTATCCACCGAGTGATATACTGTGGATACAACGTTTGGGGGATGAGCAGGGAGGTAAGGTTAACCCAAATCCCTTTCTCATATATTGGTTAAAAGCTACCGCTCTAGCTATCGGTAGGTCGATTTAAGCTAACGTGTGGCACTGTGCTGTAGTATATGCTGCGTAAACTCAGGATGAGAGCCCTGATTTTAGTATGATAACCTTAGTGTTTGCGTGATGCCGCATGTTACCGTAGCGTAAACAATAGATACAGTGCCCTAGGCTACAGCTGTAGGGAGCGGTACCAAAAAGCTGCATCTCTCGTTATGGAATTTGAAGTCGAGTACGATACTCATGTTTTTTTTTTGTCTTCCAAGTTTGTGCCAGGTTGAAGTGATCAAGGACATAATCACAGGGGTGCGGTGCCATAGCCAATGTGTTTCATGTAAAAGATAGAGATGGTAGTTTTGTAAGCTATATACAAACCTTATTTCAACATCTTAGTATATAGTTCAATTTTTCTAGTAAATACAGTAGATAAATACAAGCTAATAATACTTCATAATGGATAGAAGACTCAGATCTGGGTCTAATTTTATAATACTTAAAATAAATATAATACTATATCTTCTAAAATAAACTTGAATATTTGTTATAGATATTACTTGAAATGAGGCTTTCATACATAGCCTATACTTATAAGTCATAATTGTTATTGATTTCTAGTTATTTTAATTTATTTTATCATTGTATAGTATATAACTTAGTTCAAGTTCAAGTTGAGTTATATGTAACGGACAGGGTCTGAGGGTCGGGTAGCCCAAGGCACACCATGATCAGGACAGGCAGGATTC